AGTCTCCTCGACGGTATACCTAGACGGTTATTAGTCCGCATGGCCGGTGAGATGGTTTAGCCCACCAGTGGGTGGTAGCATGAGACCTACATTATAAGGCGAGACAAAATCAACGCCCCCCTCCATAGAAGCAGACTTTATGAGACAGGGGTGGTTGAGACGACCGATTATTCGTCAATGACCAGGTCGATGGACTCAGGAAACGGGCATCCGGCTCAGAGAGGTCTGGCCCTGAGTGACAAAGCTTTCTTCCTGACATTTTGAGATCGATGTCGCCTGCATGTTGAGCTGGCCTTGTCCGGGGTTTCTTTGCCTGTCCCTGCCTGAGTGGCTGCAAGGGTCCCTGAGGTTGCAATGCCAGTTCTTCTTCCTTGATCATTTTGTCTCGTCTGAAGTATTCAAGAGTACTTGTCAGCGTCCCCGGGCGTGTTCAGGCTCAAGTAGACCGGCTGCGAGGGAAGTAGAGGATAGGAAGGTGGCGATGGAAATGTCAACCTTGCATTCATGCCACCTCGATGACGTTTCATTCTGAGCGGCAGGCAAAGCCCAGGTGGTCTCACGGAGCGGCCCTCAGTCAGCCCTGGTGCCGTGGAGAAGCCCTTGTCTCCTGACCTTAGACATGGCCTTCACCATAATGCTCTATCCATATGTTAGTAGTGTGGGGGAACCAATAGTTTCAAACATAATGCCGCAGAAAATAGATAATGGCTCGACGGTTCATGCCGGCTACCATCCACCCTCTCCTCCGGTGCCAAGACCTCTCCAGGGGAAACGTCCAAGTCTCCCTATTCTCCACTTCAAGCTGACTGTTATCTCTTGCCTACGGGACGAACCATGGCCCATGGGCAAGGAAACAAGAAACAAAACAGTAACACGGGGTTAAGGCACGTATGAGATAGAGGACCCCACAGCGGCCGCAAGCAGAGCGGGCAGAAAGCAGCCTTACCTTGAGCGAGAGGCTAAATACTGCCCCGTCACTCCAATACTTGCAGGTCGCAGCCCGTAGCGGGAACACCCACTTCAAAGAACCCCCAAGGGTAGTGTTCAAGGTTGTACCTGGGAGATGAAGTCTGCAAGTCTTCTGCAGTATTATACACATACACACCAAGAAAGCTCGTTGAGAGTGGAGAAGTTCCGCCTTGCGTTCGTGACTGTTACTGTCAATTATCCAGGGGAGAACAGCAGATGGGAACTGAACCCCAGAAAAAAGGAATAGTTTTGCGGCAGGATATGGAAATCGTGCTTGATGAATGAATGTACCACACCGTACGAAGTTGAGGAGCTGACAGCTTGGACATTGAAATGGACGCCCAATGATACAAGAAACAAGGGAAGGAATATTTCATCCAGATTCGTACCTGAAGTTTGACAGCACAGGCACATAACAGGCAATCTCTTTGTTTTTTCCTGCCAGCGCCTCGTTATGTCCACCCACACCAATTTTCACAGCATTCTTCTTTCCCTGCATTCGTTTGTATCCCAAGCCAGATTATATTAATATTCTCAATTTTGTGCCCCCTTGCAAGTCGTATCATATTCAAATATCTCCAACACTCGAGAGTGGAGTGTGAAGCATCGAGCAGGGCCCCCTGCGAGGACATTTTCGAAGCGACGATAAACGTGGCAAGCAGATATCCCCCGATGACCGCCAGCCTCAGCCTCTAGATGCAAGCTGGCTGGCGGCAGGTCAGTAAATGCGTTTCAAGGTTTGTATTGTCTACAGGGTAATAACGACGAAGATCTCGGCGACGAGACTCGATGGACCAAACGGCGCGGATCCGAGACGTAAGGCCATGGTACCCACCATGAAGGTTGACATATGGAGTGTACGTCATTCCCGCTTTTATGTGAAGTGTCAAAGTCGATTACGAAGATATGGGTCGGCGTTCGTCGTTCATTTGGACGTGGATGTTGTGTAAGTGGAGGCGATGGATAGTGGTCAACCGCTTATTGCTCCCCCACCTCGAATAGGAAATAAGTCGAACATGGCCATGGCAGCGGCCTGTTTTATATGCATCATGTAGGTATATATGTGTGAATGTACGTGTGTAGTGTAGCGCGGTGTAGTGAAGTGTATGTGTATGGAGGCATTATGTGCGCCAGTCGTGACAACACATCGTGCGGGTCCCAATCAACGACCTCGAAGTATTTGACAAAGTATAAGTTAGCTCAGTTGCCCCTCGGGCTAAAGAGATGCTACTATGAGACAAGAAGCTGCAGGGAAAAAAAAATTGGATTTGACAGGTACATCGACGTCAAAATCTACTTTGTAGACGCCAAGTACGAAAAACATCGCGGCCGGTGGAAAATCAGAAAACGAGTATCAAAAACCTGTCAAACCTCGAAACGGCAAAAAAAGAAACGAACCACCTCACCTTGGTGTCTTTCAGGTCAAACAAGATCGAGAAAACGTACCCCCGTTACCCACACCCCCGAGCCGGGCCAAAACTAAGAGACCACTGCTGCCCAACGGCCATTACGCCGAACAGCCAAAAAAAGAGACTTCTCGATCGCGGTTGCGAACGACATTCTTTGTCTCTGCCGAAACGGGCTGCCAGACGCACCTCTGTCACTCGTAGCTTGCTGGCTTTTTGCTACTATCTACTACGACTGCTGCGGCCATTTCTCAATAATACTACAGTCTGCCTGGTCAGTTCCGTTTTGAACCATTTCCTTTTCGGTTTTCTTTTTCACACGCCCCTCCTTTACCATGGTCCATGGCATACATTTTTGTTTATCCCACGCATCTTCACCCCCATGGCAAAAAACCCCCAAGCCAAAAGCGCTACCCCTGAAGATGAGGGACCATCATTGGACACAAGTGACCAAAGAAGCATCATTGTGTACAGCATGGTATTGCATGTTGTAGGGGGAGGGGGGCAAGAGGAGAAGGGGGGCGACCAACTTGGAAAGATGGGAATGGGAGAACAGGACCAAAAAAAAAAAAACCATAAATAAAAGATGGCTAACAAACCTTTTGTCTGGCTGAACAGAGTCTGAACAGCCCAGTACCAAACCTAGCATTCGTGACTTTATATTATACCCGAGACCCCCGATACGAAACGAACCACTTCTACTCCTCTCTCGGTTCTGCTGCTACCGCTCCTCCTCTTCCACCTTGTCTCCTCCATTCTATTCTCCACCTCATTGCGCATCGACGAGCTAGTTACCTTCTCTAGCTAGCCAGACGGACCGGCCCGCCAGGGGAAAGGGGAAGAACAGCATCGAAAAAGAAAATACCGAAAGAGACGAGAGAGAGAAGGGAAAAAGCACAAAAGAGAGAAGAAGAAGATCATAGGGGGTGGTACAAGAAGCAGAAGAACAATGTGTTACTTTTATCAAACACGTTGGGTCTGCGGATATTGGAGATGGGGTCAGTTCAAACAGCAATGCAACAAAGAATACCGGACGGGCGAAACATGCGGACTGAAGTTGGTGTTCGAAACCATCACAAACGAAGACCGATGCAAGCTGTGCTACGATATGGACAAGAAGTATCGTCGGTTAACCAAGATGCAAGGAGACGTCGCTCGGTGGCGCCAAGAAGGGAACCGCAAAGCGACTGTCGAGCGGACGGACCTCGAAATACAGCTGGTCCAAGGCCAGATCCAAGATATGAACAATCAGCATTGGACCCGGGTGAACCTATTGAACTGACGGGATCGTCTCCTGTCTGGCTGCTGCTTGCTGCTGGGCGATTTCATCATGGTTCCATGAAGGGGTTCCTATATGGGTATGTTGCAACTTTTCTTTTTGTTCGGTTCTTCCCCTTTTCCCCTCACCTCCCTCTCCGAATTTTTCTCCATATACGAATGCCCCTCGTTTGCTGGACCTATCTTGTGCGGTATGGTGGGAGTGGCGGATTTGCTGCTCAGGGGTAAGCCGAGTCGGGGGCTGTGGTGTGTGTGTGTGTGTGTGTGTGTGTGTGTGCGTGCTGCGTGTGTGTGCCAGCCACAGGACCGTCGTTTGCTGACTTGCTTTCTACTATCAGTGGTTCTCGAACCTCCCCTCACATCTAGAGGGGGACGACGATATGACGAAACGGAATGGGAAAGCGCGAGCGGAAACAACGGTGCGGAAAATCGATTGACGAAGAACGATTGAGGGAAAAGGGGCAAGCAAGTCTTTGACAAACTGCGGGACTGGAGAGGTTTCCTGTCGAACCCTGGCTTTGGGGGGGAATTTCCAAGTTGAACCACGTAACGGCCGTTCATTCGCTGATTCTGCATCATTTTTGGTCTCTTTTTGTTTTTATTTTTCGTTTCTTCTTTTTACTTTATTGTCCCTTCTGCTCAGGTTGGGGCCGGCGGACGTTTATATTTCCTAGAGACGGAATTATTGGGAGGCTACAGAATCCTGTACGGTTTTTATTTCTCACCAAGAGAGCATCTCGGCATAGTTAATTTTAGCCCACGTTGGCAGTCAAAGTGTTGTGTGCGTGCTGGTGCCCGCAAAGAGACCGCCTCGTGTAGGATGCTTCGTCGCGAACCCGGTCCGCCGTCTAAGCGGCGACAGGGACTTGAATGACGGGCCCCTCAGCAGCTCCTTGCTTAGTCTCGAAGCCCATCTCAAGCTGTCCTCGGAGTCCCCTCCGTCATTTTGAATTGACTCTTGTATCCCCCTGCCTAAAAGACCTTGGCCATATTGAAACCTATTTCGCCAGCTCAGCCCGAACGGCTCGGACCAAACATTTCATGGGCTCCGGGAATCGAATGATGCCAAAGCAAGGCGTTGACAGTCGTGCTTCTTTCTTCAGGGCACACACAACGGAGGAGGGACTGGTGAAGAAATGCTCTCCCACTTTTTTCTTCCTGCACGGCTGCCCGTCCAGCAGGTTTTTGGTGTGCTTATCAGGTACGTAAGTTGCAGAGGGCGGATTCTGCCGGCGAATGAGAGTGGCACGCGACGGTCGACGGCGAAAGGGACAGAAGGCGGTGTTGCGTCGATCTGGTCTAGGTACAGCACAAGCACGACGAGTAGCGGCCCTTCATACAAACATCTAGGCCCTCTTCGCTCCTGCTGCTTTTGGTATTTCGTGTTTTCTATAGCGAACTTGAAAAGTTGATGTCCCCCAAAGGCACGTCATTCGTTCTCACGTGTCGCCGTCAAGCAAGTGAGGCGAGACCCCGCGGCTTTGGATGAGCCCCCTCAACGTCTCCCGCGTGTGCCCCTCCCCGGAGTCCTTGTTAGCACAGCACACTGACAAGCCGTACCTGTCATCTGACCCAAGGCTAAAGTGGAGGGAGGAGCGGGAGGAGCAGAGAGAAAGGCCTAGCGTAGGAGAGACTGGGGACAGAAGAGGGACGAGGAATGGTGGTGGGTTGTGTCGGGCTTCATGGGATGGGACTGGGAGGCCGCCCCATCTGGCTGCAGCACACCACCCCTCCTCATGCCGTCCATCCCACTTCACTTCCAAGGTACCATTTCTTGGACTTGTCTCCGCCAATGAGCCACGGGAACCGCACAGACTCCCGCACAACCCTGAATGGCGGGCATCAGAGTCTTAATATGAGCCTCTAAATGCTTCCCTCCTGTCCAGAGTTGATGGTGCTCGTCCGCCCCGAAAGGTCGGCCGAAATCCAAGCTAAAGGTGTCGCTTCCAGACAAGGCCTGGACTAGGATGCAACATTCCTTGCCAAAGGGTCCACACTAGAAAAGGTAAACATCAGCCGGAGGTGCACGTGGCCATCTTTCAATGGGCTAGGCAACCCATGACCTGCCGCTGAAGAATATTCAAGACGCAATCATTGGCCCGCCATGGTACGAACCAGGGGGGCTCCAAAGTGGGATGGAGAGAATTTTTCATTGATTAATTCGTGGTCTTTTGGGCCCATCGTGTCCACCTTTCTCATAACCTCGTTGTTGCCCAGACGTTTTATACAAGGGTTTCCGAACCAAGTACAGGGTTCTGACATAGAAAATGGAAGAAGAGGGAGAAAAAACAAACAGGAAATGCGATATGTGAGTGAACGTGGATGCTTCTCTGGGTATGGTGTTTGTGGCATTGTAGCCTACCGAGTACTCTGATTTTTGTGTGGGTGGATTTTTGGGAAGCGTGTGTCTGCATACTGTTTTTGGAGGGGTATCGAGGGAAAATAGAAAAAGATGTCGTCACTTCATGCCATTCCGTCCCATGTTGCCGTAATCCGACGGGACCCTGACCATGCGTGGACCAATACGAACAGAAAATACAGCGCAAAACTAAGGAGCATAGCTTAGCCGCCCTGGCCGTGAGCTCGGGTGGGCAGAAACCAAGAGAATGATTCATGACCAAGAGTTTCAAGCCATTGCCGCTGCTGCATCGGCGAATGTACCGACAAGGGGCTTGTCCAACTCGGTCTTGACTGCTGGTACGCCGTGTCGCATTTCGATCGTGTCATCTTCCTGGGGAAGCCAATCCACTTGGACACCGGTTGGGGCGTCGTCCTTGGAAGCCAGCTTTGAAAGGAGGTGCTGGTACCGCACGATGCGGGCTTCTTGCCCTGCATACGCAAATGTAGTCGGCGCAGGGCGATGTGCGTGATCCTGCGGGGCAATCTCGAAGATGTCGACCATATTGCTAGGAAGACCGATGTTAGCACTCCCGGTTCTGACATGAGGAGCAAGCCCGCCGTCCCGGAGATTGGGTCGAGAGTCAGTACGTACTCGGACGTTTTCGCTACGACTCGCTGCAGAGCCTCAGTCTCTCGCTGCACCTCCATCGGGTCCTCCTGTCCATTGACACTCTGCTCTCCGAAGCTGCCATAGTGCACATTGTTGGGATCGTCGTAAAGGAGTCGCGATTCTTCGTCCTGAAAGACCCGTCAGCCGCTGCATACTACGCTGCCAATACGCCAGCCCGCAACGCCACCCACCTCGTCATAGACGTCCTTGTTTCCCCGCCCGAGGCATGACGCACAAATGCCCATCGCGAATCGAGAAATCGGCGGTCAGTCCCTGGTCGTTCGATGCGCTGTCGTCGGTAAATACTGGGGCACGCGTCGGTCGAAGAAAATAATTTTCAGAGATAAAATTTCATTAAAGAGTGGACGGAGCTTTGCTACCAAGCAGTGTTCGGCAAAGCGGTGGCGTGAGGGAGTGGTTGATGAGCGCGTGTTTGGATTACGATGCTGGTGGCAGAAAGCGCAAGATTGCGACGATGGAATGACGTTCTAATTTGGGAAGGCGGTCAAGCCTCGGCTTCGGAATATCGAAGCCTCCGCGCCATTTCCCCACAGCGGGACGGGACGGCCAGGCCCGAGCTCCACGCATCATTTTTTCCTGGTGTTTTGGGACGAAAAAAAATGCTGGAGGACCCGGCAGTGTGTTCGAAACCTGGACCTTGCACCGACCCGACCTGGCGGTTATCCTCACTTAAATTCCAGCGACGGACAATCGCCGAACACCAATGGGGGGAATGAATTCCGTCGCAGTTGCGATGCGTCCTGCTCGACATCTTTGCGGCGTATCCACCTCATTATGCATGGCATCCGTTGGCTTTGTCTTTTTGACTCGCGCAAGGCATACGCTGGGTGGCTGGTCGGATTATCTTATCAGTGCAAGGGTTGAAGCTGAGAGCTCTCCCTTGGGGACACAGACGTCAATATTGAGCTCTGTGTCACTTCTTTCCCTCCTCGCATCTCCCTGGCCCCTGAGAACGGCCTCAACTGCACACTATTGACTTGGAGAAACCCCCTTCATCGCCAAATACGGCCTGATCACAGTCCATTTTGGGTTGAAGACCATCCAAGTGGAAGACGGCTCTATCGCGATGGAAAATGCTATACAATATGGAACCCCCTCCAAAGATTTGCAGAGCTACTTGTCTCCGGTTTTCCGTACCCTCGGCCAGCTCTATTGTTCTTCGTGGAGCAATAGGTCGCAATACAGGGAAACGACATTCCTTCGACAGCAACGCATTGCGGACTTCACACAAAGACTTCCGACTGATTTCTCTAACAGATCGTCGCGCAGTGTAGATGACGAGCATATAACTCCATCTTCTCTCCAGACAAGATGCTACCTTTCTTGATCATCACCTTCAACTAACTAACTCACACTACCCAGCTTCCCGCTTCCGCCAGCTATAGCAATCGTCTTGCGAGCTTCTCTACATCTCATTCCCTCGATCCGTCTATTCAAACCCCAGCGAGCCACTCTCACGATGGTCTACCAACATAGCTTCCTGACTCTGTCAGTCCTCTCCTTGGCCTCAATCGTTGCTGGTCGACCCGATAACCTGAGAGGGCGAACACCTCCAAATCTCAACACCTGCCCCTGTCTGCCGGAGGGCACCCCGAGCGTCATCACCAAGACCGAGACCGCCCATTCCACAGTCTACCAGACCGCATCCGCTTCTTTCGTCCAGGAGACCGTCACGGCTACCCTCACCGTCACGCGCCGGGCAGAGACCCAGACTGAGACCCGTACCGTTCACGTCACGAAGACGGCCGAGGAGCAGGAACAAGTTACCGTCACCTGCACCGAAGTCATCAGCGAAGGTCCTGATGGCTCAGCAACCACAAAGACCAAGCCTCCCGGAGGCCACGGACACACCAAGACAAAGACGCGCACCGGCCATGGTGACTCCGAGACAAGTGCGCCGGGCCATGATGATGACGACCAAGCTACCCAGACAGATGCTGCATCTGGTTCCGCAACGGCAACAGCAACGGCAACGGGATCCGGCTCAAACGGCGGCAAGCCGACCGACAAGCCTCCTCACGGGGGTGATGGCGGCGACGGTGGCGATGATGATGACAACGGCAATGGCTCCTCCAAGCCGACCTCTACCCACCACTGCAAGCACTGGAACGGCACCAAGTGCGTTAAGCCGACCGATGCCCCCAGCGACTCCGCCGTCACTCTCACGGCCACGGCCACGGAAACCGCAATTGCCACGGGCACAACAACCGGGAACGCTCTACCAACCTACTCGGTCTGCTCCGTCTCGGTGGCTCTCGTCACCGTCTACAACACGGTTACTGCGACTGTCTACCAGACCGGCACAGCTCCTGTACACAAGCCTCGCGCGCCGACCGCAGTGGCCGCCTGGTAGTTGGGTTGCCGCCCGCATGGTTTCTGGTTGTGATATATGGATGGAAGTATCTGGGGACGACATATTTCTCCCTTTAGTATGGGTGGTAATGGTGAAAAAGTAATGTCTACTGTAGTTAGGAAGGGTTCTCAATAATATCAAAGGTGTTCATGTTAAGCTTCAATATGCACAAGTGACTCGGAGGGTTCGCCTGAGGACGTTGAATTTACTAACCAGAAGTGAAAGTGTAAATTACAGTATTTATACAACACATAAAACGTCTCAGCGTCCCATCGGAAAGAGGTCAGGGGCTTATGATTGAAGACGAAAGACACCCCTCGACTGGACAAGGCCGCTTGTCATGAGCGGTATCGGAAGCCCATAAAATCGTCCTCGTCCTCGTCGTCCTCGTCATCTTCTTCCTCGTCGCCATTGACTCCCACATTCTCTTTACCACTGGCTTCAGTCGGCTTGTCAACAGGGGCAGTGGTGCCTGTAAAGCTCTGCTTCCTCAAAGCCTCCCGCTTTTCCTTTAACCTCCGAACCCTAGCCTCGAGCTCCTCCATATCCTCAAATTCCGTCTCTAATGCTCGCGTAGCCTCCTCTTTCTCATCGAGAAGATCTTTCTCCGCAAGGAGTCGCCGTTTTGCTTGTTCTTCCTCCTCTGTCTTTGCTGCTGCCGCAGTCTCCTCGGCCGTCATGGCTGGTGCCGCGATAACAGCGTCCTCCGAGTACGGCGCTGTTGTCGCAGCAATATCCGCCTCGAATGCTGCCCACTCGTCCTCGTCGACGGCCCCTCCAACAGGCTTTGTAGCTGTGCCGTCTTGCTGGGTAGCCGGGCCAGTAGCGTTCGGCTTCGTCGGTAACTCCTCTTGCGGGATCAATGGCGATGGTCCAATGGGCTGCACAATGGGGGTTGAGTTTGAAGATGTCGCATCCCTATGCGCAGGCGTGTGCGGGCGCGACGGAATCTGAATCTCAACCCCCTGAACTGGGGTGGTGGACGTTCGGCGGTTCAGCGAAGGTGGTGTGAGTGTCACGTCCTTGAGATCACGGTCTGACTCGCCAGCGGACAAGCGAGTAGGCGTGCTCATATTCCCCTTGCTTCGCTTCTTCCGCACTGCATCGGCTGTGTCATCATCTTCCATATCTTCATCTGAGTCGTGTTTCCGCTTGTTCGAAGAGACTCCGCCTGCGGCCGCCGATCCGCTCGCGCTCGTGGACGTTTGTTGCGCCACCTTGACCTTCGCCGTGTGCCCGGATCCGCGGATATGGCTATCCCAAAGAGACTCGGACTTGATCGCCTCGTGACAGAGGGTGCAGAGCAGCTTGCCCGCATCGGAGTAGGCAGCATGAGGATGCTCGATTCGTCTTGCAGCACGTTGCTGGCGGAGGAGGGATCGTACATCGGCCATGGTGGTTATGAACGTGTCTTGACGACAGCTGGATGTGCGCAGATGCTCTGCAGACTCGGATATGACAAGAACCCTGCTCAATGGCTCGTAGGTGTTGAAGGTCGGAAAGCCAGGTGAGCTTGTACTCGGGCTTGAGAATTGAATGGAGGCAACGCAAACGACGTAGCGTGGTAACGGTAGTAGCGTTTCCGTACCTTTGCTTTGGCCTGGGAAGTGGAGGTGACAAGGTGCAGGTGCCAGGTGGGCAAAATTGGCGCCAGTCCGACTCAAGCACAGCGGGGTTGCTACTTACCTCAGAGCGCGAAAGACTTCCGACGCTACCCCGGGTGCCCCCATGGCTTTCCAATCGGTGCTGAGTCCTGCAGGTGTCCTCCACTGACTCCTGCCTCGACAAAACGCGCTGGCGGGTGCAGCCCGATCTTCAGTTGCCCGTGCTTCCATGCTCCCGTTGCGCGATTCGCAGTCGCATTAAACTCTCACCCACATTCCTCGATTTCGACGCTACCGAGACAAACACAGCTCAAGAATCTCCACATACGAATAACCAGGGAACGATTATCACCGTTAGACGACCTACAACTATCCAGCGCCTTTCTGCGACGATATCTACGCCAAAAAAGATGGCCGACAGCCCAGATGAGCCATCGCAAAATGCGCTGGCCTCGACATTCCCCAACCCGCCGCCTTTCTGGAGAGACTTTACACCTGAGAACGTAGCTCGATTAGAAGAGCTCCGGAAGGCTCAGGCAGAGAAGGATGGCATTGCCGTCAAGGACTTGCCGGCTCGCATACCAAACACCCCCGAAGGCCTCATGAATCTACAACCACCGGCCGAGCCGCCAGCAGGAACATGGAAAGTTTTGGGCGGAAACTATACCGTATGTTTGTCCAACTCGTGGCGATTGGATAGGATGCGGGGACGCTGATACTCTGCTTAGCTCGACGACAAGCTTCCCTCTCTCGAGGAAGGTGAGATCAAGCGACTGGTGCCAGCACATTCAGAGGAGAAGGATGGAAAGCATCTCGATCGAGCATTCGAGCTCAAGAAGATGGCCAAGTCTCTTCTGCTAAACTTTCTCGAGCTCGTTGCCGTCATGGCTACGGTGCCAGACGACGTAAGTTAATAGCTACCTCCCCTTACCGCCTCATAAACTGACTATTCCTAGGCCGCCACGAAAATCGAAGACTTGCGCACCCTATTCATCAACTTCCACCACGTCCTCAACGAATACCGACCCCACCAAGCACGCGAATCGGCCATCGCGCTGATGCAATCGAATCTCGATCGTACAAGGGCGGAAACGGCTGCTATTCGAGCACAAGTGGACAAGGCCAAGCGAGTTCTCGAGGGCTTAGGAAGCCTGGATACACCCAAAGTACCGGAGATTGTCAGCTTGGTCATTGATGGCGAGCTGACCAGCAAGGAAGCGGATATGTTTGCTAAGACAAGAGAGCAAGAAGTGTGGGGAGAGGCGGATGGTTTGTTTCTCTAGCATTGAGACAAGGTGCGATTTGTTACATGGGAAGACAGCGGTATGGCCGTGTATCCATGGGTCTTTGAGCATTCCATAATCTGAATGTACAGACGGGCTGGCAAGGCGATGACGGTGACGGTACGGTGGCGAACAAAGGTTCGTGGTGTATTTGGCAAGCATTGATACCCATACCTTCCAAGAGGGATGAACCACGAAAATCGGTGCCAGCGAGACATGGCAATGCGAAAGGAAATGGTGCTACGACACCAGATCTGAACAGACGACGATATAGGCGCTCTTAGTCAGGCTGACACGGGGAAAATAGCATTTAACGACGTAGACGATAGAACAGCCAGAAGCGCAGATCATAAATTCATGCTCGACCGGCTTCGTGCCGGAGTCGACTAAATCAAAAGCAGCAATCCGGTATCAATCCTCCGCAGCATCGCTATATTGCGCCCACAAGAAAATAGCCCCAAATCCAAGCCAAATCGTACTTTCGTACTGCCGCAGCAGCGAAAACTGACCCTTCACATGACGGTGCAGGGAATGGGGATGCAGCAGCACTCATATCCGTCGCACTCAATGCACTTGGTCTTGCCGCCCGTGGCCTCGGCGGGCTTGACGATGCTGTCGATGATGGAGGTGGCGGCGCTGCCGGGGCCATTTCGGTTGACGAGACCGGAGGAAGATGAGCCGCAAGCCATTGTGAAGGTGGTGTTGGTATTGGTAGGGTTTTGTAGATTGGAGTCTACGACACTGTCAGCTGTTGATCAAGATTGAAGTACCTCAGGTAGGTGGGTGACGTCACGGCTGAGCTCTCTCACTTACAGGTGACTAGCAATTGAAGCGACCGTTGGATAGATTGACAGGTGAGATTTGAAGATGTCGAAAAGAAGATCAAACCGTTGAAATAGTCTTAATTGAACAATGGATGTCTAGGTACTCCCACAAAGGGAAAAAGCGGTCCAGGCCGAGTCTCAGCCAGCCTTAAATAAAATGCCACCACCCGTACGGCGTCTCCCCCCCTCAACCCAATGCTTGAATCTCCAAGGTCCCGTGTTTCTAAATCCAGCAAGGTTGTCGTCATGGCGTGGTGGGGGGCAGCAAGGCATAAACCCGGCAACCTGCTGTGGCTGAAGTCGTCTTCGATTCGTCGCCTCTGCTCAGCCAACCAGTGACAGTGCGTGCGAACCAGCTCCGGGGGCCGGGGGGTGTGCTCCCGATACCATAGGTACCTTTCGTCGTTCGTCCGCTCCTCTGGTCGCTGATTGCACCCGACGCGGTGGGAGGTACACTGGACGGGAGGTGGGGGGCACTTGGTTCCTGGCGGAAAAGCAAGTGCTGTCTTTGACTTACTGCCTGTTGACAGCTGTTGCAGTATTTTGATGGGTCGTAGAGGATGACAGCCCGGGCTGTTGACTCGCGACAGACCCAATGCTGGAAATGACCGAGATGAGAGACCTTGGCGAGTTTGGTTGAGAGGCAGACTAGCTGGCGGCATCGCTTTGGCCGAAGTCCACCACGAGGCCAAGAATCAATGGATTGCCGTGTTCCGGAAAATCTGACCTGAGATGCCTAGCCGTACAGAATCCAACTACAGAGTCCTATCTGTCCGGATGATACAGAGTGTAGCGAGCCAGATTTGAGATCGTTCCCTTAACTGCACACTTAGACATGTCATCCTTGAATAGACAAATCAGAATATATCACAATACAGCCACACGCAAGTCTCGAGAAAATAGCTTTGATTGCCCCTAATTCAACACACTAAGAAAGAAAACTCCATAGTAAACCCCTATTTAGCAAAGGCCCAAGACCCCCTCATGAGGGAGCGGTATCTTCGTCTCTCGGTCCCAAGACATCACGTAAATCCCAATAAACAGCTACCTATGTACCGCGAATGAGAGGATATACGCTTTTGCAAGCAAACTTCTCTGGTTTACCCATCCAATAACAACCCAAGATCACGCTGACGGCGCTACCCCCTGCGCGCCTTGCGGAGCCGGAGGAGCAACATCACCGCCCTTGGCAGCTGGCGGCTGTTTCTCCAAGAGTTGACTTAGATGGGTCAGGTCATCCCGTGCCCGTAAATCTCTCTCCAGAATGCCCCGGACGACCTCCCATTCTGTCCGCGACATCTGGTAAGCTTGAGGCAGCAAGAACTTCATCGTAGGACTGTTAATCAAAGGGCCCAGAACCTCTTGTGCCAATGCCTGGCCTTGTTGTTGGCGTTGTTGGTTCTCGAGTTCAGAACCGCGAGCGGCTGTATAGCCCGTTGGAGGCTGGTTAGGCGGTACCACTTGATGCGCTCCTTGTGTGGGGTGCTCCTGTAAAGCGTGACCGTTGTTGCCGACAGGGTGGCCCGGCTGCTGGAAGGGGCCCTGAGCAACCGTTGGTGAGAAAGCCGGACCGGATATCGAGGGGTGTCGTGGAGGGAAGCCGCTTTGTGTGGGAGTTGGAGCGTTGGTGACGGGTGACTGAGACGCGGCACCGCCCAGCTGAGGCTGTCTGGGGGTATTGCGATATACGAAGACGGCCAGTAGCATAGGCTCCGTCCTCTTCTGAGGCACCAGGTTGTCCGAAAAGTTAAGCATAAACTCCGGCATGTTGCTATCCCCAGGAAGGACGGGCACCAAGTAAGTGTCTCTCACGTTGCCCACACCCTTGTCGCCGACAACAGCATAACGCTTCTTGGAGACGAAGTAGTCAATGAGGGCTTGGAACTCCCGTCTATGGACCTCAGACGACGGCGTAATTGCCACGACGACAATGTCGGTCTGGTCAGCGTAGCGCAAGCCGCAGAGATACTCTATCGCCTTCTGTTCGTCTATGCGTCCGGCCACTGTGAGTTTCTTTGGGACGAGGCTAGTCCAAGGCAACGCAATCGTGGTAGAGAGGTTGGCGCCACCGACAAACCTGGCCGCAGCCGGGAAGTCGGCAATCGAGCTCATGACCAAGTGACCACGCCAAATTACATCAGGATCTGTCTCGTCTGTTGGCGAATAGGGTGGAGATTCCGTCTCTTCCTGCAGAAGTCTATCCACATCTGCGTCAACACCAGGCCCATGATTTGGCGCCGATGGCCGGCGGTTGTGTGTACCTGTGGGAGATTTGACAGTTGCGTAGACCTTGTTGATGTCGAAGTCGGGGTGCTTGGGAGAGTGTCGGGCTCCGCGGGTATCTATGTGTAGGCCAGCGTGAGCAGGGAGCTCCACTGAGTTCTCGTATTGCGGTTCTCCATCAGACTTGATGCCAGCCTGCCCTTCTCGGCCGCTTGGGCGTCTGATGAAAGACCTGCCCTCGTCATTTTGGTGGAAGGAATCGTTCTCAACAATCTCTTCGCCCTTGTGCGTTCTCCTCACACGGGGGCCATCTTCGGTAATCAGGATGGACTGCTTCTCAGAGATGGCCTTTAGCTGAGCGTTGGCTTCCTGCCTTTCCTTGGTAGCTAGTTCGTCCGCAGACATTGTGGCTAGCATGGTTGGCGACAGAGTGCGCTTTAACAGGCGTTTGGTCAAGTCGCCGTTCAGCTTCATATTCGCATACAAGCTTCGTGCCTGCATCACATACTGGCTCCGGTCTGGGTATGCATCGTGAACCGCGCGTTCGATCTCGAGGGCCATGCGCTCCGCCTTAGCTGCGACTGTGGTATCTTTTGGAAGACTGATGGTCTTGTCCTTGACACCAGCAGTGAGGATGCCGGCTATAGCCCTTTGCAGGAGTTGGGCGGGACCCTGACGATCCTCGTGGAGATCACTGATCTTCGCGTCTAGATCAGCAGGTGCAGTGTACTTGACGGTAGGGGATGCCTCTGGCTCCGAGACTTTGCGTTGCTTTGGCGCAGGCGTCTAAGAAGGGTACTATTAGCAGGGCTCTGTATGAGTATCTGGAAAGGTGAGGCTCACCTTTGCTTCCTTTTCGCCAGTCTCCTCTCGCGCCTTGCGCTTGCCAGTAGTGGCCTTGGATGCGCCGTCCTTCTTCTCCTTCTTCTCCTTGGCGGGTGGCTCCGAGGGAGCGGGCGAGTCCTCGGCTTTGTTGCTCCTCGTGTCTTGCGACAACTCTTCCTTGGGGTCGCTGGCGCGCTTTCCGGCTCTGCCGCCCTTCTTCCTTTTCTTCTTCTTCTCGTTCTGTTCGTCCTCGTAGGCCTTTCGGCGTGACTCCCACGGGCGCTCGCCCTGCTCCATGAGAGCCAGGAGTTCCTTGTGATCTTGTGGAGCACATTGTTCGCAGTAGTAGTTTTTAGGGAGGTCTTCCGTAAAGACACTCATACCCATGCAAACGTTGTGCTGCCATGCGGTGCATTTGTCGCAAGCGATCCATGGCTCCTCCGAGTCGCCGTCTTGCTCAGTTGCGCCGCAGACACAGCGTATGATCTCTTCCTCTGGTTCCTCCTCCTGCTTCTTCTTCCTTCCTCGTTTCTTGGGCGGTTCGATAGGTTGGTCGTCGAAGGCCTTGGTATGCTGACCTTTGGTCGCGCGCACAGAGCGGCGAGGTTCCGGTTCTCCTTTTCGAACCATGCTGGTTAGATCTTGCGGCTAAATAATACTGCAGTGGGTGTGTGTGCATGTGTGTGTGTTTTGAGGGAGAGAGGAGAGCGGTGGCTGGCTGCGGGGCAGCGTGAAGGTGGTTGCGACACTTACCAGACATAATGGCTTTGTTGCCCGCCCGCGGTGGCAGCAACGACGGGGAAAGGTGGAAGCGTTCAGACGTCTCCCTTTGTTGGGAAGGAGCGCGAGGGTGTACCTTTGGGGGAAGGTATAGAATCTACTCCAGTTGTCGATTCAGGAAGGTCCGGTGTCCTGTCTTTCTCAGGCATGCATTGGTTTTTATGGCAGAGCGGAAAAAAAAAAGGCTATGATATGTGACCCATCCAAAGATACGCGCGCGACACAGCAAGGCTCGATGCGAAGACCGTAGACCGCGCGGGAACCCTTCCAATTGTCCCTCGCGAAAGAATTCCAGCACAGATAAGAGAAGTACCGTCGTGCGACACAGTTTGCGACAACGAAATCAAGGTCGGTCGTGGGTGGGAAGCGGTGTTCGCGTGCCGCTTTTTGGGTTGTGTAGAAGAAGAGCAGAAGGGAGCTTGCGCAAAGGTGGAGGTGAAGCGAGTGGGTTGCAGTGCGCTGCGATAAAACGGCGCGAGGTTGGAGGGAAAATGCCGAACCGCCTCCATATTCTGTCATTATGTAAGCGTCGTTTAACCACGATCTCGGGCCCATCGCTCGGTGAGAAGTGCACGGATGCTGGCGAGGCGGGGGATGCATTGTTGTGGCCTTGTTGCCTTATGCTTTTCGGTGAGGAAGGTGAGAACCTCTGACCCGCCCGCCCTCTGAGAAATGGCTGAGAAGAGAAGGCAGAACGATGAGGTAAGAGCGGCCCAGGAAAAGCTCGGACCATCCTTACCTCAGCCCTCCCCGGCTGCTCCCCCCAGGCTGGCTGGTAGCGCAAGGAGCTAACGCGTGCGTCGATTGCCTGGAGCTTCATCGAGCTGGACCCAAAGTCTTAGCCTTCCCTACAGACGACCAACAAACCCTCTTGCCGCAACTTCACATTCCTCCGATCGTCGGCTTCACAAACGACGTCAATCCCGCAATCGTTCCCTAAGCCCCAGCCAAGTGCAACTCGATTGCTCGCCCATCATGTCTCGCAGATACGATTCCCGCGTAAGGCCCCTCCCCGCTCTTCCCTTGCTCTACGTCCCCTCCATCGTCGTAGGGCAGCAAGCTCACATCTTGCGTTAGACAACAATTTTCTCGCCTGAGGGCCGTCTCTATCAGGTCGAGTATGCTCTTGAGGCTATTTCTCACGCCGGAACTGCCATTGGCATCCTCGCCAAGGATGGTATTGTGTTGGCCGCCGAGCGCAAGGTGACTTCGAAGCTGTTGGAACAAGACACGTCGGCGGAGAAGCTGTACATCGTCAACGAGTAGGTATTTCTGTGCTCGACATGATGTCTCTAGATTCTGACACTTTTCCTTCTAGCAACATGCTTGCTGCCGTTGCAGGTATGACAGCCGATGCCAACATCCTCATCAACTACGCCCGTCAGGCCGCCCAAAGATACCTCCTCACCTACAACGAAGACATCCCATGCGAGCAGCTCGTCCGAAGACTATGCGATCTGAAGCAAGGATACACACAACACGGTGGTTTGAGACCGTTTGGTGTCTCCTTCATCTACGCCGGCTGGGACCCTCGCAGACAGTTCCAGCTGTACCAGAGCAACCCCTCAGGCAACTACGGTGGATGGAAGGCGACGGCTGTCGGTGCTAACAGAGCTAGCGCAGAGAGCTTGTTGAAGCAGGACTATAAGGAAGATTGCACCCTTAAGGAGGCTTGCGGCATGGCGGTCAAGGTTCTTAGCAAGACCATGGACTCAACGAAGCTGAGCGCGGAGAAGCGTACGTTACACCATGACCACCAAACTATGCGAATGATCATACTAATTGGATTCAAATAGTCGAGTTCGCCACGGTTGGCCAGACGAGCGACGGCAAGATCTACCACAGACTCTGGACCGCAGAGGAGATCAAGGAACTGCTGAAGGAGCATGATCTGGCAAAGGACGAGTCCACGGAGGACAAATAATGGCATGGATGAATTCATAAAACATAGATGAGGCGTGATGATTGCCCTTAACCCTGATGTACCAATAGAATTGATGCCCCCAAGTTTCCGGAACCCTAGACCTCCGAACCCCTAACAGGCTGCTGCCAAGATGCAAATGCGATGCTGTGGTATCCCAAGGTAGACGGTAACATGACATGTATGTGTTGCAGAAGTGGCAAACCAAGCGGAAAGCTCAAGCACAACAAAGCAAGGCAAAAATGCAACAAACACGAGAAACAATGCAGTTATTAGTCTTACTTGTGTAGATGGCTATGTCGGTGGCTGATCTGTTGCATTCGCACTCTACGAAGGACCCTACTGACAGTGATTAGTGTCTCTGACTATTTAGCTGGGTCATCTCATAGCCTACGTCGGGTCGCGAGTCCCCAGCTTCCTCTTCATCTCGCAGACGATTCCAACCAGTCTTGGGGTCTGACCCAGGGTAGGGATGGGGCTCATGGCATTCCTTGGCGGTCAACTTTGGCCAGTGTCGTCGGTAGCTCCAGTATGCAACCACGTAACCCAGCAGAGAGCCCACGGAAACATCATAGACATCGTGTCTGTAATCCTCACAGCGACTGATGGCGATTAGTGCAGCCCCCAGCAATGGCAGAAGGCAAATGAGGGCGCGGCTGAGGTCTCGACCTCCACTGTTGTGTCGGAAGATGTGCAGCTGGCCAGCCAAGAACAAGCTCAAGAAGCCAAGTCCAGAGAAGGAGAATGACGAATGGCCCGAGGGGAACGACCGCCAACCATCATGAAGGAGGTGATGTGCAGTCTCGGTACAAACATCGATGGTAACAAGCACATCAGGCTTCGTGCCAGCCGCCGGCTTGCATCTGGCCAGTAAATCGGGACGCGGTCGGCCAACAGTGTTCTTGATGAGGTCCGTGAGAAAAGAACCCATGATGATGGCGATGGCAAAAGACAGGTAGGTGACCTCGTGCTTGTGCGGTGATGCCTTGGTGACAACATTATATGCAACCAATACGCCCAATGGTATAAAAAGGGCGTAAACAAAGTTCATGTCTGAGAAGCGTGTCAGTCATACTCTCAAGTCAACTTTGAGGGTCCATCTGTGCACTGACAAACAGGCACGCGCTCGACCTCAGCATGAGGGTATGAGATGTGCAGATCGTTGATGAAGAACATGCGGTGGAATGGTTCGATAAACAACAGCATCTGGAGAAGTCATCAGCGCTTGGAGTTATACCATGAGCGTGTTCTGTGAAAGACATACCACGATCCATGCAGAAAGGAGAATCGCAAATCCAAGATAGTCTGGCGCATGAGTTCTCTATACTTTGTCAGACGATCTCGCAGCCTTGCGTATGAGAAGAACAGGAGCGATTGCGCTACCTTCCAGAACCTGGTGAATGCAGATGCGACAGCACTTCCACTTGAGCCACTATCCCGGCGACCTGGCGCCATCTTGAGCAGTCACCGTCGTCTAGTTGCACGAAAGGCTGTCTGGAACATCGACAGCTCGTCTTGCTGCGGTAACGAGTGTTGACTGTGAGCGCTGCAGTGTAGACGGGATGAGCTTCAGCAGCCAGTGTGAGCCGACTCTATAAGAACGAAAGGAGTGACGGCAGACAATGAAAGTTGAACAAGCGCCAACGACTAGCAGCAGTCACTTGATCAATGTGCAGATCCCCCGGCCAATTGTCCCTAGAGCCAGCCTTCCAGCTTGTTTGAGCTCGAAGGGGGTGTCTTCCGGTGTATGTGGCGTTTTGATTGGGGGATTCGAGCTCGTGAGCTGTGACGGTTCCCCCAAGCTGGCTACAGGGGTACGAACCTTTGGAAGTTACTTTATCTTATCGCATGCCCGAAGATTCTCCGCCGCAACTCGTTCTTCGCATCTGGACCTCCGAAAATCAACAACTCTCCTGCGAGTGTGAACTGGCAATTAGCATCACAAGCACCGCGAGCGCACCGTTTCCACTTTGCTCAGGATGCTCAGATCGACGTACAAGCCATCCGCAAATGCTGCGGCGCCTTCCCCTCTGCTTCCCGGATGGACAGAGCATAGTGCGCCGAGTGGACATAAGTACTACTACAACAGCCAAACACAAGAATCAACATACACGAGACCCAGTGCCCCGGACGCTACTGCTGCACCTTCAACGGCTTCGACGAGCTTCTTTCAATATCAGACCGTTCCCCAGCTCTCCAATCCCAATGTCGCAAACGCATATCTTGCACAATACAATGCGCAAAACCAGCCACAGCCACAGCGGGGAGGTTTCGGTCACGGAGGCAGAGGAGGGAGGGATGGACGTCCGCGTCCCGAACCAGTGGACAAACCGAAATCCAAAGTCCCGATCCCCGGATGCGAACCCTGGCTTCTAGTTGACACAAAGTACGGGCGCCGCTTCGTCTACAATCCCGAGAAAAATACAAGTTACTGGCGCATTCCAGAGAAGCTTACCGCTGGTATCTTGGAGGTGGACAAGGCCAGAATTCGCGAGAAAGCTGGGATCAAAAGTGCTGCAGAGACAGCCGTGGAGGGACCACCAACAGCCCAACCTCGGCCAACTACTTCTGCTGCCGAAGCGCCGACCTACGACGACAACGGCGACAGTTCAGAGTACGAGGAAGTCGAGGTTACAGATGACGAAGGCGAGGACGAAGATGGGGAGGACGGGCCTGCTTTCAAGCGTCAACGCACAGAAGACCCGGCCGATGATACGCCTGTGGAATTCAGCGAAGCGGATATCGCATTCCAACTGCAAGCAATGGGCGATGCCTACGGACTAGATCCCGGAGAATATGACGACGGCAATATGGACGAGTGGCCCGAAGGCGCGGAGGGGGTCGAATTCTCACAAGAAGACGCCGCTGCTCTTTTCAGGGACTTACTGGAAGACTTCAACATCAGTCCCTACAGCACGTGGGAGAAGCTGATTGAGGATGGACACATTATCGAGGACCCGAGATACACCATTCTCAACACAATGAAAGCACGCAAAGAGACTTGGTCAGAGTGGACCAAGGACAAGATCAAGGAAATCAAGGAACGCCGGGCCAAAGAAGAGAAAAAGGATCCGCGGATACCGTACATGACGCTACTGCAGGAGAAAGCGTCGCCCAAGCTCTTTTGGCAAGAGTTCAAGAGGAAACATCGGAAAGAACCGTCCATGACGGACCCCTACGTCAAAGATAAGGACCGTGAGAAGTGGTATCGCGAGCACATCAACCGTCTCAAGATGCCCCAAGCCACGCTGAAGGCAGATCTCGCCACGCTGCTGAAGTCACTGCCACTTTCTGCACTGAACAACAAGACGAACATGTCGCACCTACCACCGCAGCTACTCGTCGACATCAGATACATCTCGCTGCAGCCACAAGTGCGGGACCCTATGATCGAGGCTTACATACAGACTCTGGGACCACCTCCAGAGGGTGGTACAACCGAGCAAGAGGATGAAGCGACGCGCAAGGCTCGGGAGGCTAGAGATCGGAGAGAAAAGGCACTGCATGAGCACGAAGAGAAGGTTGCAGAGCAGAAGAGGAGACAGCAACGGAGCCTCGAAATGGGCAAGGCTCGGCTTCGAGAGGAGGAGCGCGAAATCGAACGGGCGATGCAGATTGGCAAGCGAGGTCTGCAGAGCCAGCTGGCGAGTGCCCAGAAGAACGACCAGCCTGATGCATAAAAGCAATGTGGCTGGGTTGACTGATAATAGACAGACTTGCAATCCCAGCAAACCAGACGGCGTGCTTTTCAAAGTCAACCTCAATCTTTCGTGTCTCCTGTGATAGGGTCGTCCCGCAATAGTCCGGTCTTGGCACTAACAACGCAGCCAGCCCGTTAATGTTTCGCTCCGCCGACTGCTGCAGGAACCGGGTTTCATGCACGATCATGATGATGTCTTTCTCACCATCCAAGCCTCTCATCACATCCAACTTGACTCGAGCCTCGCAGACGCGTCATGCAGGCCAGACTCCCAACGGATGCAGGCCGCCAACAATCTTGGACGGAACGCTCATCCATGTGTTGAGTCGAAACTCTCTGCTCCTTCCTGACCCTGATGCTCTCAAATACAGTCAGCGCAGTCATCGTAGGAACGTGCTGCCTGCGGTTGAAACAATAGACTAATTGCTTCACCCCCAGCCACACTTCAGCGTCATTCCCTGCTCTGCCATCCCTTTTGACCACGAGAAGAAACGTACTTTGATACTCGTGGGGAATCAGTTCGGATTGATACCTCTTGCTGTTCCTGCCACGGCACTAATGACACCATCTGGTGTGTTCGTGCGCAGGATCGACTGAAAATCGGCGGCCCGCCCATTGGCTCGTCGGCCACGTCGGTCATCTCGGTCACAGCACGCTGACCGTGCTCGCACATCCCCAAGCGCACTCCGTTGTCAGACGATGTACCCAGTGAAGAAGCATACTGCCATGTCAATTAGTGTCTTGAATGACAGGCCGCTCTTGGGGTTTTACTTGAGGGTCCGGTCTCGTGTCTTTTAGTATAAGCCATTCCTCTTTTCGTTCGCAGATGATCCCAGCTTGAGTCTTTGCTTTCCGAACCAGAATTAAAGCGCACTTGAACACATTATGGGCGCACTAACATTCACGGCATTTGGCCTCGTCGCCTTGGGTAAGGAGCCAATGTTCAATAGCCTAACTGAATACGACTAACACGGGATACAGCTTCGGTAGTAGTAGCACAGCAATTTCCAGGAAACTTCCCAGGCAACGGCAACGGTAATGGCAATGGGTTTGGGAATGGCAACGGCGGCAATGGATTCGGAGGAAACTTCAACAACTTTGTCGGCTTCAACATCCAGGAAGCGATGCACACACGAAGAATCCACGGCATATTAGGGACAATCGCTTTCGTCATCGTGTTCCCTATCGGGTCGATCGCGATGAGAATCATTCCCGGACGCTTTAGCTGGCTTATTCACGCCCTCATTCAGATGGCCGGCTTCGTTCTCTACATCGCTGCTGCCGCCTTGGGTATCAAGTTGACACAAGAAGTCACATTTGGTGGAACAAGCCTGGTGAGTTCCATTCCACTTTCCTTCCCATATCTTCAATGTCTTCCCACTAACGCATTTCAATAGTACGAGATCAGTACTATCAACTTCCACCCAATCATCGGCCTCGTCCTTCTAGCCATCTTCTTCTTTCAACCCATCTTCGGCTACATCCACCACGTTCAGTTCAAGAAGTACGGCGTTCGCCAGATTTGGTCACACATCCACCTGGTCATCGGCCGCCTCCTTATCCCACTCGGCATCATCAACGGCGGTCTCGGCTTATACATTTCCAACTCTCCCAAAGAGTTCAAGATTGCCTACGCCATTCTCGCTGCCGTCTTTGGCATTGCGTGGATCTTCGTCTCAGTCATCAGCGAAATCCGTCGTGGCCGACAACCGGCTGTGGTTGTTGTCGAGGAGCACAAGCTTAGGAAACGGTCCCGTGGTCGTAACAGCGGAAGCCGGGGCTCGTCGGACTCGGATCCGAAGATTTAAGAGGTTGGGAGTGATGGATTATGCGTTACAATAAGGCGGCTATGACAATCGCGTCACCTTCCTGGCAAGGGAAATTGGCTGCGGTACGTGAATACTGTGGAAAGCGAACAAGCTGCCGAAGCGGACTTTTTGAAGTGGGCGACAAAGAATGGGACTATAACGGATGCTGCGTGATTGGCTTTATCTTGACAGAGTTTTTAAAATACCACATGCAAGTAGTTGCTTTTGAGGACCGTCGTGTGCCTTGTGACTTCAATTCCTACTGTAATCGTCCACCTTGAAGATCCTTTCGCCTTTGCGACTACATCAAAATTAGGGAAGATATTCCGGTTGGTTCACGAGTTATTCACGTGTCTAATTGACCTCTCTCTGTGGGCACGCTGCGAGTAAACATACCACTAATTCACTTGAACGGCCGCTGTTGCTACGGGTTTGGTTGAGTTGCTACATCATCGCGTCAGAAATAACTAACAGGTATCTAAATATGTATGTAAACTCAGAAGGGAAGAGGTGGCATATGTTTCGTTCCCATTCACTCGAATAATAGAAACCGCTCTGTAGAGAAAAGTTGAATGGGAACATACCAGCTGTTCTCACTTCATTCCTTTCGAGATAGGTCGTTGGCTTCAACGGTAACAGGAACCTTTAACAAAGGCTTGAAATGATTTCGCATCTTAGATTTACTTTTAGGGGGGTTCAATGGGTTTCGGGTACTACACTATGTACATACTGTAATATCACACAGGTGAGCAAATTCTCTAGTAGTGCGCAATGTTTTGGATGTGCGCAGCATTGGAGGTTGACCATTGTGGCAAATTCATACTGGACGATGCCTGATAACTTCAAACCCTCCCAGAGACAGTTTCCTGTTTAGTTCCTTGCATGAGTTTGTAATATTATTGGCTGATTTAAGGAGCAAAGTCTGCAAAATAACGACACCATGTCGGGGAAAGTTGAAATGTTCTTAAACGGTACACGGTCAAGCATCAGCGGCGAAACGTGCTTGTATGACTAGGAATTGAATCGATAGCCTGATCGGAGGCCTGCTATCCTCTTCCTTCATTCCAATATGCACACAAATCCGTTGAATTCGGACTGGGGGAAAATTCACATTAGGGTCCAAAGATTCGTTACATCGCTGAAAGCACTTGCTCACATTCGAATCAAGGGTGGCTGTGGAAGAATATAAGGTGACGTTAAAAGTCTCTCTCCTACCAGCCGAGCGTTATGACGGTGTCTTCAGCGACATGTATAGATAAGGATCTCATAGAATAATTGTCTGTCACAAAAAGAAGACAGTATATTTTTTCATCAACTTGTCGACACTGACTCCTGGGGATCCAGCAAGCTGGTGACTTTCGGTGTTTTGTTGCCCTCATCTATGGCAAGTGATAAAAGGCATACACCAGTGTTCAGTTGAACGCGAACAGCTTCAACTTCCCGATCATAAGAACTCGGAAACAATTACTGTCCTAAATCTTGTCTAAGATGCAGAATCTTCTTCTCATTTGTACACATCGAACAGTCTATCTTCAATAGTAGGTAGGACTTCTAGCCAAATTTTAGAAAGTTGCACAAACAGCTCCTCTTCTCAAATAAGCGTTGTGGGCAACACATGTTATCGCTTAGATCCCTCCTGCTTGAAGCCCTCAGTGGCCGACATGCCGAAGCCCGAAGGTTACAGTGGGAGGCCGAAGTCCAAAAACTCTGTTCCCCTAGCCTCTTTGGTAACCTCTCCAACTCGAAGATCGTAGAAAATGGCCTAGCCTTAAAGAAAAGAGAGTATAGCGAAAGAGAGAGCGAGCATTCTTCCAAGGGTCGTCTGTTCAGAACAGAACATCAAGACAGCTCCTTGGATGTGACGCTGCAACGGCATGGGAAGAAAATAATACATGGATCATGGGACGAGAAGATAAGAGATTTGGTGCCATAAATTGGCGCATTTGTCCATGAAATAGGTAAGCATCACCGATGATGGTGCAAGAATGGGTAACACGTTAAGTACCTCTGCCAGACAATATCTCGTGCAGACTTTGATGTGGAAATGTTACAACATCAAAGACAGCAGAAGGAGAGGAAGATGCACGACAGAAGCATGTTGAGAGTGGACTAGTGCGTAAAGTTGATAGAACTTTGCTGCGTTCAAAGCCACATTTTGCTGGATCAATCTGATTTCATGACGATGGTTCAATCCTTGATTTCCTTTAAAGATATTCAGAGAGATATTTTTCTAACTCGGGAATGGAGACACGGGGAAGGGGATAATCAAAGAAACAATAACGTTTTCGGATGGCCGACAGAGGTGCTTAAGACACCGCACCGAAATTTGGAGAACACACGGGTTCAGTGCCGGGATTCGATCCGGAAGAACTTTTGGACAACTGTGAATGTCTCTCAAATATAAAGGATTGGGCGACTACCTCAGAAGACTCAGGCGTTTCCGGGGCCTAATTGTACTCGATGTAAACGTGGTTCTCTGGAACAGAAAAATACTGAGCTTAAAACCATGAAAGCAATGAGTTTTCGGCGATCCGCTGTTAATATGGACAGAGTAGGCTAGGTGGACCGAGCCACGTAAAGAGATACACTTTAGAGGAGGCAATAATGGGAGCAAAGGCTTTCTTACATCGCTATGATCTGCGAAAGCCCGGAAACATGATGTAAGGGGATGGCTCGTTGTTTAAGGGACGAATGTAATAAAACTTCATATGTGTACGTCATGGCTGTATGGTCAAGACACTATCTTGAAGCCTGGTCGCATTACGCCGCGCAACCCGCGGAAGTCACAATAGAAAAGAACTGGACCTACAAATTCAAGGATTGTAACACACGATGGGGGACTGCCGACAGTTGTTCTTTGCTGAAAGTACCAAGCAATACTTTGCGTCAATGTACATGAAAACCCAACTAGAACCACTCTCGTGTCTGCCATTCTGCCAAAACGGGATGGTGTTTCCGTCTTGTCAGGGTATCGGAACAACCCCGACATGCCGGTGCATTGCATTCAGGAGGCCGAGGTTACGCAGTTCCAACAGCCCCAACCAACAAGACCCGTCCTTCCGAATGTGGAACCCTCTCGCTTCTGAGGACAAGGGGATAATTTCTCTAAGGAAAAAGGCGACATGCTTCTGCTAGACGTTATTCGAGGAGGGATCCGTATTCTGTAGACATGTTGCGTGGATCGTCGACTTGGGGGGACTTCATGACACGTGTGTTACTCAACCAACGCGACACAAAAGACGGATCATACGACATCGTTTGAAAAGACAGCAATAATTATCTGCGAAACAGAAAGGGGGGGGGGGGGGGGGGGGAAGGACTTGTATCTTAAAGAACATGGGGGTTCCCATTATTTAAGACAAGACTGCTAATCGCGTTCTTTGTCCACCTGAATGAAAGAACTTGACTCTTTGACCGCGCTTTTGCCTCGGTCCGGACAAATGAACGCAGGGCGTTCGGGCGAGATTCATCAAAATTCCGAGGTCGGCCACCGCGGCTACCTCTCATAGCTGAGTTGAAAGATTTCTCGATAGTTCCATCATACTGCTCCGCAACGCGGGTGCATATCGGGTTAGACGCTGCAGAGAGGGGCCCAAGAGGTTTTATCAAGCGACACATTGTGTTTGCTCTGAGACCTTGAAGTTCCCAAACATGCCATTTTCCATACTTTGAGTCCATCGCGAAATGGGCTGGCCTGGGTACCTCACCCGGGAGGAACGAAAATGAAAACGCCTTTAGCCTGGAAGAGACAATGCCTCCCTTGGCAACTATCTTGGACCGTGAGCTAGACGATACCACCAAGCCTAGGAAAGATGAGTGAGACACGCCAAAGGAGCGCCAATCGACAAGCTAGAATCTGGGACAGAAAACAGGGCTGATGCTTAGTCTCTGCGCGACATCACGCCGACTCCCTCTAGACCCAGGCCCTTGGCACCGCCATCGATCTTGTGCTGCATATTACCTAGTACTGTCAGCTCGTGGTGTGGGTTGGGTCAGCTTGCCTAGGCATGCCGGCATACCGCTCAGCATGCATACAGATGATACCACCTGACTTCTTGTGCCCATGCATCGAATTATGACCCTGGAAAACTTTCCACATCTCGGGCAAGTCCACTGCCCACTGGAACCAACAAGCCCCTGTGTATGACGGGTAGGTGCGGATCATCCTTCCCTTTGAATCAATTTATTGATCGAACAACCCCGCTACCCCTCCCCTATTCTTCATCTCGGCCACTCGAACTTTGAGTTGATAAACCAAGAGACTCCTGCTATGTCCCAGCATTCCCCTGATCCATGGATGTCAAATCTCGAACCGATCTGCTCCTCCACTTCCCAAAGTATCCATCGTTACCTTTTCCTGGGTTCCCCTCGCTCCCTGTCCTACTAGCCCTAGGACGGCCTGTGCCTAGCCCGTTGAGAGACCGAAGTGAAAACGACCTGTGAAGCTAATGCCCCCTTTCGGAGCTGGGGTCCTTGTAACAGCACTCGCTATGTCCCGAGTCGACTGGGGGCCAAAAATACGCTTGACTTCCTCGTGCGAGAGCCAAGATTGTTAGTAGATCAAAGATGACAGGGGCATGGGGATGGGGGAGACGGCAAGTGCTGTGCAAAGAATAAAGAGGGCCGGCCATCAGCTCAGGAAGTGGGCGACGACTGACGCGATGCGGGAGACCGGTCCCCGGAGTTGATAAAGGTGGCGGATGAGGAGGCCCCCATTCCACTCACAGATTCGCTCACAACATTCCCTCCACTCAAGAGGAGGGAAAAAATAAGATAACGTCAACGCCAACGGCATACGCTGTCCTAGCTTACTCTTTCTCCCGTCAATGTCACCACCCACCGTTCAATATTTGAGTATTTACCTTTTGGACCAGCTTATTGGCCATTAATTTACGGCCGGAGCGGAAGTGAATGACTGCAGCTGCCGCCTGTACCTACTACCATGACGACAAATCATCGCTCGATAATAACACAACAGACTAATGAGGCTCAGAATCTACCAACAAAGCTTCACCGTGCCAAATCGGCACTTTCATTGGGTGGACTGTCGATGAGGGCTATCCATATAAGACACCCGAAGCGCAATGCCAGATGCTGGGGGGAGGGGGTTTCCAAGACAAGTTGCTAGACTAATTTCATCGGAAGACAAAGACCAAAACGCTGGGGGAAAACCCGAAAAGAAAGGGGAAAAAAATGAAAATCAACCGCCAATCGCAGAGCGCCGAAACTGAGGGGGTAACCTCCAGATCTTCCATCTCAGTGGCTAAGCCGTTACGAGATCACGACGGAAATGATGACGTCCACAGCGTTGACGAGGCTGCGATGGATCGACGAGTAAACAGAAAACTAGACTTTGCTCTTCTCCCGCTTTTGTCTCTGCTGTACCTATTCAACGGTCTGGATAGGGGCAACGTTGGAAATGCTCAAACCCAAGGTTACCAATACTCTTGGCTGGCTGTGTGCCTATTGATCCAGGTTGTGCGTTGCTAACAGGTTAAGTAGGATTTACCGACGACATTGGCGCCGCACCGGACGATTTGAACCTCGCCGTGTCTCTATTTTTCATCACTTTCGTTTTGTTTCAGCCTCCCTCTGCGGCTGTTGGCCGATGGCTTGGGGCCAAACACTGGATCCCGATCATGATGGTAAGGGGCTTCGTCCAAGCGCCACGCCTGCAAGATAATTAAATCCATGCTAACCCCCACAAAGCTTGGCTGGGGATTTGTAACTATCTGTCAGGCATTTATCAAGGGTAAAGGTCTGCTCTCTTCGGAAAAGTCTTGCACGTTTCCTGAGCTTAATTTGTTGCCCAGGTTCTCTCATCGCCACCCGCCTTCTAATAGGCGCCTTCGAAGCCGGCTTCTACCCGACTGCAGTCGCTTATCTCTCCTTTTTCTACTGCCGATATGACCTTGCCGTGAGGGTTGGTCTATTTTATGGACAATATGCGGTTGCCGGAGCCTTCTCAGGGGCAATTGGTAAGCCCACAGACATCATGACATCCCTTCGTACTGACATGGGATCAGCCTACGGCGTATTCCACCTGAGAGATGGCCCTCTTAAAAACTGGCAATATCTCTTCATCATCGAGGGAACACTAACGATTTTTTTCGGCCTAATTGCCTGGGTGTTCCTCCCGGCAGGTCCCGGATCGGCATGGTTCTTAACTTTGGAAGAACGACGCTTTGCTGCGGATAGGATCAAAGCTGACAGTGTATCATTTACCGAGCATGCGTATGACGCTCACGGTGTAGAGACAGATCGCCTGACTAAGCGTGACTTTATTGAGACTGCTAGAGACTGGAAGTTCTGGCATGTCTTGGTGTTCAACATATGTGCCAGCGTCCCTGGGCAGGCGTTCTCCGTCTTTCTACCGCTAGTTGTGCAGGGACTGGGATATTCGTCGATCCAGGCAAATTTGGTAAGAAGTTGAAGGGAGTAGACCCGAAACGCAAGCGTGAACAGAATAACTGACAGAGGTTGTGCAGATGTCTGTTCCTCCATATGCGTGCGGTGCAATCGGGTTATACTTCTTCACCCTCAGCTCAGACTACCGGTAGGTCTTTAGAAGCCTTGATGAAGCCATGTTCGAAATTGACATCTTTGAAGCAAGGAACGCGGTTATCATATTCTTGGGGGTATCATCATTGCTCTCGTAGGACTGATTGCGACCGTCACCGTCGAATCCAGCGGTGGAAAGTACGCTGCGCTATGCGTTCTTCTCCTCGGTAGCTATGTTGCAGCACCACTGACTGTTGCGTGGTTGAGTGGGAACACCCCAGGTAAGCAGCTAGAGGCGACCAGGCGACTTGACACGAGTGGGATGTTAGTGAACATCGCTGACCCCCTTCATCTAGAGCCCGGCAAACGATCTCTTATCCTTGGTCTCAACGGTTTCGGGAATCTATCAGGCGTTATCGGTGCGCAGCTATACCGCGATCGATACAAACCAGGCTACAAGATCCCATTTTACGTGACCCTGGGGTTTGTTGCACTCTCCTTACTTGGATATCTTTCATACAGATTGACCCTCGCCGCGGTCAATCGAAAAAAGTTGGAAATCATGGGACAGAAGACTACAGAGGAGATCGAAAGAGAGCGACTCGACAACACGCGATACGCTGATAAGAAGTGGACATTCATATATGGACTTTGAAGTTTGCGGAATACCCTTTGTACCTAAACATCAGAAAAATAAGCATCTGCTTCGCGGCGTATCCGCTCAGCGATGCCCGCAATATCAGCCGGGCTCTTCTCCCCGTTCTCGAACATGTATCCGTCGACAAGACTTGGGGGAATCCATTCAAAGTACACGTTCCTGACGTTCGCCTTCGCTATCTTCTCTCCTGAGCCTACCCCATGCGAGCTGTCGATGGCGTTAGAAGCAGCCTCCTGTGCTAGGATGCTGTGCTTCCATGACGCGATGACCTCTTCAACGTCATTCTCTTCGAACCCAGGTGGATCATACGGCAGAATCTTCTCACTCTCAGCCAGAACGAACACCTTGGCTTGAGGTGAGTTGTGCTTAGCAGAGAGGATTGCCGGCAGTGAACCCGTCTTATTGCTTGTTGCCCCATCCCCAGCAATGATATCCGCGCCAATGAGGACCATGTCCGCATCCTTACTCGCGATTGCGGCGGCGGCGTCGGTGAAGATTGAGACGTCAACCTTGTGCTCTCTCGGTGCTGATTCTCGGAGGTGCTTGACCAAGCTGGATGCCATTGAAACCCCCTCAAACAAGGGACGAGACTCGAGTACGCGGATGTCGAATTCTGAGTTCAGGCCTGCGATAGCTCTCTTCAGACACTCGAGGATAGTAGAGCTCGATGATAATGTGAGAATCCGAATTGGCCGGCCGGAGCCGTGGTAGTTTCTCAAGAAGGCCTCGAAGGAGTTCCAGATGCCGTCGATGGCAGAGTCCCTCGATGTTGCAAAATGACCCACCTTGTTTGTAACGGAGTCGAGGAACGCCTGGGAGACGTTGAAATCTTTGGTCTGCTGTACCTCCTTTTCTATAACGGCCAGCGACCGTACGATGTTGTTCAGGATTGCGGCTCCCATGCTCTCCCTACCATTCTTCCAGAGATGCCACGCTGCAAGTCGGGCATTGCGCCACCACTTTTCCACGGAGCCATCCTTCAGTGCGCTGGCATTCTCTCCAATCACGGAAAGAAGAACTTGAAGGGCCTTGCCCGCCAGCTGCCGCGCTCCGCTTTGGTGATCCTTCTGTAACGCGAGCAGCCCCTCGCTCAGAATCTTTCCTCTTCTCTCGCCAAGTTCAATCTCGAACCAGATGCGTCTTAGACTCTCGGCAAGTCGCGGCACGCCACCGAACTCATCGACATCTCGGACCTCGTGGGGGTCGAACCACTGGAACCCCTTATGCTCCCAGTCGATCTGGATGCGAGACTCATCCTCGTGGGACTTGAGGCGGAAGGCAAAAGGATATATCGTCCATTCGCGGCCTATCTTCTCGTCGGCGAAAACGTAGTCCTTTCCCTGGCGAAGCAAAGTCAACGTTGCAGGCGTGAGCGTAGTCTCTTCGCGGATCTCTCTCCAGGCGGCATCCAGGGGCGAGGGGTCATCCTGCTCTATGCTGCCCGAAACTGGCGCAAGGTGATTGCTTCGGAATCCCAGTCAGTCACATATGGAAAAAGCATAAGAACAATCCGTATGCGCGAAGACGAGGGTATGGGCTCACGGATATGTCCGCACGCTATCGCTTCTCCGGAACAGCGCGACCTGCGGCCCCCGATTGGGGGAAAACTTGAAGATGAAGGATGAGACGACTGCGCGGCGGACCATTGTCTTCTCTGTTGATTCCATCAGATAGGATCCAGGACTTTGAAGGAAACCTGCTTCACAGATGGCCTTTTGCGACTGTTGCGGACCTCATATGAAGCTCACGCTGGATGGACGCGATTAAGGGAATGAGGTCATCATGAGCAGTAAAACAGGACATGGGGACAGCTGGTCCCAGCTGGCAGTATAGCCTGACACTTCTGGCTGGCACGCCAGCTTGACTTCGTGAGTTGCCCCTTGGTCTTCCTGCATCGACTGTGAGTGGTCTTATATACAACCATAGACATGCAAAAGGCAGTGGGCAAGAGGTTGTGGTTTGAGCATCCAAATGGGTCGGTAATCTCTCATCTTACTCAGTACAAACTCATCGGTACCAATACACTCACGCGACAACTCACGTCATAAAGATCTCAATGAAGGCCACGCATTACTCGAGTTTGAAGACGTTGGTTTGAGACTTTGCGACGAGAATTGCTATTGGTAGACTAAACTCACTTCCATATCACCATGAAGCCAGAACAAAGATGGTGGCCCGATCGTGAAACCGGGCTCGGCAGTGAGAGGAAAGCAAGGCGGATAGGACGTTGTCGTGGCAGGCAGCACGAGGCCCCAGCGACCGTCGCCCTATAAGCATGGAACTAGGCCAAACCCTTGAAGGGCACATGCACACTGGCGCTTGAGGGTAAGCTCTGCGAAGAGCACCTCTTATCGACCGACGACAGCCCCTTTATTGCAGGATTGGTACAGTTTGGAAAGGCTGGTAACGCTTCAAAACTCAACGGAATCGAGCCCCGATATGAGACCGAGCAATATTGGGACAGTTCGACTTAGACAAGAGGCGGCGGGCTTCACCAGCCGCAAAGAAAAGCAGTCCCTGAAACCTGCAAGAGTCTTAATGGCCACCAAACACCAGACCATCTAAAGTCTACTTGTGGCGGCACTCGATGCGGAATTAGGTGAAAAAGGCTGACAAGTAAGGGACACCGTGGGGGGGGCCTCTCATCCGGCCGGGCCGTGACCGCCACTTCTGGCGTTGCTCATGTGAGCATCAGTTGCGGCATGACTGCATATGACATTCAGCCTCAAGAGCCGCATGCCATGTACACGGCAGCCGATGCCTAGGAGTTTTTTTGCAACAGGCTCCGGCCTCGATGCATTGGCAAAGCGTTCAAAGCATGCATCACTCAGCGACGTAGCAGCGTGCTTCGTCATTGGCTAGCGAACACAGGGCCTGCCTTGATATGCCTAAGATTCCCATCGAGGGGATATGTACAGTATCTTATCCGACATTCTTCTGAAATTTGTGAAGCCGTAATCAAAATCGCTGACAATTTTGTGATACTGGGTGAGTTGATCGTCTCGAAGCTGGCGAAGGGGGCAGATCAGCGACTATGGGAGAGGATCAGTGAGTGAGGCAGCCGTCGAAGGCAAATACCGCCGGTAAAAGGCCATGGAACAGACCGAGTTATTTGTACGTAATATGCGAGAGAAAGCCTTCATGTCAGTGTCAGTGACACCCCTCTCTCGAAATGTCGGGTTCATCCCGAAGACCAGAAGAGTTCGAAGACCGGAGCTTGCTCCGCACATGATCAATTTTCCAAAGTTTCTGTCAATCAGGGTGTTATCAGGACCCCGGAGAACGTGATTACATATTTTAGCAAGGCTTTTGAGCCTGTCGGTGTCGGGCGAGACCGAACCAGGATCATGAGCAACCACGGAAAAGGATTCTCTGGCTGGCGGTACGAAAGATAAGCTCTCACGACACTCACCGAACAGGAGCTAGTGCTAAACAAGGCCAAGGGAACAAAAGAGCAATATCAAGTGGCGTTTGACTTGCGCTTGCCTGAGTACAGGGACAAGCATCTGGAGACAGCGCGCGAAGAAGGCGTGGGCGCCCGTTAGTCGCGATGGTAGTCATCGGCGCTGCAGGATGGCCGACGGCAACTCTGTCGCAGGGAGGCATCGCAAACCAACAGGCTGTTCCCTTGGGACTTAAGTTGTCTACGAGGGTGCTCGAAAAAAAGGGAGGATATGCTACACGAGCTCGTTGGGGTATTCTCAACGACCTTCCTGCTGGCTGAAAGTCGTCTTCGTCGATCTGTGGGTTATGTGGGATAAGTCTAATGAAGTTTAAATCACGAGACTTTAAGCGACGATGTGAATCATGTGGCTCAAGAAGAAGTGCCTAATAGGCAAAGAAATGGCATGAGTGGCTGGCGGGGGAAATACCTTGGGTGCTTTGTGAGGTATGAGAGGCGCAAACTTCTCCGGGCGAGTGCCACGCGAAGACCACAGGGATGAAGCGCCAAGACGAGCCGTTCCGCAGTGAGCGAATGCCCCGGCGCGTGAACCAACTTGGGGACAGCTGTGCGCCTAACTTGTAATCAGTTAAGCTGTACGCCAATTTGTGCATATTTCTTTCCATTCATTGCGAGCCGTGTGAGACCAAATAAGTGAGACTGGCCGGTATGAAATAGTTGCAGCGACAATCTTCGCGGTGTGCCGGGGGCTTAGTGGGCATATTTCTCCACCGATCCGAAAGCAATCGGCCGAGGCCACGATTGTGCAGGTTGGACGTCTCTGACAGGTCAATTAAGTGGTCTATCCGTGCCTAAGCGAGCATTCCTGGCAAGTTTGTCGGGGTATGGTAGCCGCTGAGCATCTGCAGGTGCATGTTTTTGTGAGGCAGGGTATGGGACGTGGATACGACGGGTATGTAGATGAGATGTGAGATGATTAAAATGAATATTTTGGATGCGTACATGGTGAAGAAACCTGGATGAAAATGGAGATGAGGAACTGACGAGAGTTGATTTGACCATCGGCGAAGAAGTGCCCCAAGCTCATCCCGCCTCCCGTCTCCCGCCTCCCGCGTGGGCCGTGAAACGAGTCGATGGCAACGTAAGACGGGACGTTAGTGGCGCCCTCTTGAGCCGTTTCTGGGGCTTCCGATCCATGTCACTGGCGGTTGAAGTCGGGGGTACCCTACCGAACAGTGAATGGTTGGGGCCATTACTGCGTAGAATCTACTTTTGCAGGCTGAGCTACACGGGAGTGATTAGCAATCTGCGTAGTGCGTTAGCAAGGCAAGGTAAGGCTTGGGCATGAAATGCCCTCTTCTGTCGAGGCAGGGCAAGCTAAGGCCCCGGGTACGTTAGACACACAGCCTGGGCCGTTCGTCAGGGGGTCGAATCAATGATCAACGGTCCCCGAATCCTTGGGGGTCGAAACATGACCGGGGAGGAGGAAGAGGAAGAGGAGGAGGAGAAAAGAGGAGGGGAAGAGATGCTCCGTCAACGCGCTCGTGTGCCGCATTGCAATCACTTGTGACTAGATTTGTGATTCAAGCAGGGAGGCTTGCAGGTCTGTAGTAGCGCACCTCACAGCAACATTCGAGGGGCCGACAGAGAATGCCTTTCTTTGCAGCATTTTTCTGCTTCATTCCGACGGATCCCCGGATTGCGTGTGAGCGCAAGTGAGCATGAGCATGAGCATGAGAGTGAGAGTAACAGTGAGGATGAGCAAGTGTGCAAGTGAATAAGTGAGTAAGTATGCCTAGGAAGGAAGGCAGCTGAAGGTACCTACTCCGTACGCCGTTCCTCAATAATTAATTACCCGCCAGGTTGGTTTGGTCGGTGTTTGCTTGACCTTCCATGACCTGGTCGGGTAGGCACGCACCCGCGCACCTCGCACCTTGGTGTGCTTAGGACCTTGAAGCTCCAATGGCGCTGGGAAAGATGCTGTTAAGGATGTGGGCATCGTCACATGTAAATGACTAACACGGAGCCACTTCCGGCCCCCAAAATACCACGCCCCCCTCCCCTCCACCTCCTCAGGTTCCTTCTCCCTTCCCGGACCACCACTGGACCCTTTCCCTCGTCTCGCGACTAGAACGGTTGTTCAAAAATCTCCATTCTCCACGCCATGTCCATCTCAACATCCTTCCGGGACATCTTCCCAGCGAGCAAATCTGACGTTCCACACATCAATCGGAATCAACAGCCTCTGATCGCCAACCTGTGTATGAAAGAGATCCCCAAGGACCAAAAGCTGTCGACATAGCGCCTTGACCTTCACCCGCAAATACACTTCGGATACAGCCGCCCACTATCAACGATCTAGTACGCATACCACAGCCCAATAAGTCTCACCCCATCCAAGCGTCACTCCCTTCTCCTACGGAGTACGAGGCCCTGGTGTCCATTGTCCAATCCCACCGGAAGTCTCGAACACGGGCGGGACACATCCGCCGCTGTCTGGCTACCGATTTCCGGGGTACACTGAGCCACCAACCGGTCCAGATCCATTGCCGCCTCCGTCACCGTCACCGACGACAAGCTTGCCCTTCACCCTTGCCCGACGGCCACACCTCACCAGAACCACACCGGACCGCGACAACTTACTTCGCACATTCCATCTCTCATCTTCGACTCCGTGCGTGAGTTCCGGCGGAGCGGTGACATGCGGCCTCACTATCCCGCAGAACCAGGATGCAGCAGCAGCAGCCAGAACACACCCAAAACTCCAGCCGTGCATCTCGCTTGCCTGTCAACCCGCGACGGCACAAGGTAGCACCAGAGCAGCGGAAGCGTGTCGCAACAGCGTAAGTTGACTTTGGAATCTCCAATCTCTTCGCAATCTATCCTTCATCTATTTTGATCGCTATCTACCTTGGTACTCGCGGGTGCCTGTCCTATTTGTCTGCCTTCCCCTTTTGTAGCATCGCTCACCTGGCATGGATGATGACGATAAACTCCTCGCTGTTTCATGTTTTACGCTCAACATACTGAATCACTTCTATAGGTGCAACAGCTGCAATGTCCGGCGCATCAAATGTTCCGGTGAGAGACCGTGCCGCCAATGCCGCAGCTCATCAAGAGAATGCCAGTACCCCACTATCATCGAGAAAGTTTCCGTCGCCCGGAACGAGCTAGATGATCTGAGGAGGAAGCTTGAGATTGCCGAACGGGCTCTGCAAATTGCCGTACCCGACGACGTCGCAA